TTTTCGCATAAAATTGGTTCCACATAAATTCTTTGATATTAATATATTCTATAAATCTTGTAATAGAATTCATGTATTTAACTTTTCGAAATCTATTCTTAATAGATGCAAATTAATAATCTGGATGCTGATCAAGCCATTCTACTATATTTTCCATCTCTTCTAATGTAAAATTAGTCTGAATCTCGAATGATTCATTTTCATCATAGTCACCAATATTTTCTTTCTCATCAGTTGATTCTTCTTCGTCAGCACTGTCTTCTTCATCCGTAGTTTCATCATATTCATCATGAAAATCGAGACTTTGATAAGTATATAGTTCATGAAAGTAATCATCTTTAAATGTCTTTAAAATTTCGAATAATTGTTGTGAAGCGAAAATTTCATCAGCACTTGTTGGTGAATCTTCAAAGCAACATTCCAATTGTGTTAAATGGAAAAGATGTTTTGCAATATTCACGAAATTCATTGTTTTAATCGATGAGGCTAATCTTTACAAGTGTTAGTCATAATAGAAAATACGAAACAACGTTACTTGGAATGTGCATGTGATTGATACTTACGAATACCATTGACAAAGAAATATAGAATAGAAATTGTTCACATATTATTGTTTATATTATTCCATTAGTGAATCTCCTTTATTCTATGTCAGCAATGGTTTGTTACAACCTTTTAACATTCCACTGATGATAAGAGTATGGACACTTCTTTCTGATATGAAATATTAAGTGATGCATCAATGCATTTTATTTTTAGATAATTTACGTATGGACATTTTTCAAATCAAACAGGTATTCTTTTCGAACGTAGTACTACTGTTAAACTACAGAAGAAGTCGAATCTTAAGAAGACTAAATATTGTTAGTAAGACTCACGAAGATTTTGGACACTCGTGTCTTAAAAAATTTGATGATTTTATAAAAAGATTGATGTGAATAGGTCACATATTATCATGCTTCTATACCCAAATAATGCATAACAAAAATTGAATATCTCTGTCCAGGTACGCCATCAGCAGCTCATATTTTAAATACGTCAGTTTCTCGATGAGTGATCATTTCACCTGAACAAGGTCAATCTTACTCCTCAGCAGTTCCCGACCTTCCATTGTTAGTTATTTGTTATTTGGTGCCGCAGCAATATTTTACAAATTCAGAACTGGTTTTCTAAAGATCAAATGATTATCTGATTGAATTTTTTCTCTGACTAGAACGTAACGAAGATCCTATCTAATTTTTTTCAAGAAGAGTAAACTTCGTTGAAAAAGTTCGAAACACGTATAACTCGACTTAGATTTTCATGCTCATTCCAAATGTATTATTAGTTTTTAGTCAAATTCTTCTTTTACCAATGAAAACCTGTTAAAGATTGATGAGCACTCGAAAACTCATGTTTTGTCTAAAATAAATTCAAGTTGCCTTATTTAACAACTATCATTTCTCAGTATATCAAAAAATGTCCGGTTTAGTAGCCGATCCGTCGAGCTTTTAAAATGAATCGATATCTCATGTTATTTTGTTCTTTCTCGAAATAATGAGGAAACACTACGCAGACATAAATAGGAATGTTAATATAACCATGCAATAATCTTAACACTTACTTCTTGTCTGAGGATATCTTAAAGTGTTTTTCCTCGTTTTTTTAGACAACTAAATAGAAAAAAAGAAGAAATACATGTTGATAAAATTATACATATTCTCATTTATTTAGATCAAGATCCTACATTATTATCCAATAAATGTCAACCAGCATCAGCATTAGCATAAACTTTTAAATTTTTATCCCATTATCAAAGAATAATTGAATGTCAGTCATATTCTGTGATTTATGTAGATTTCTTCATAGTCTGCGATTTAGTTCATTTTCACAATTAACAATAGATTACAATATTTATTGTTCGAATAATAACAATCTATTGTCTTTTTCATGATAAACGTGTTTCGACTTCTCACATCTACCAATCCTGATCTTCTATTAATCACTTGTGTTTCTCGAAACCATTCATGATTCATTATTAGCTTTTTTTTAACTTCTAGATATGAACTCACATCCATTACTAGAAACAGCAATAGGTTTTTACAAACAATATGCTTTGACGTTAAGCGACGAATTGATCGTAATCTTGCATTATTTAGTGATAACGAAGAGCTTTCGGGTTGTCAATAAAGGCTATGTATGAATAAATTTTTTAAAACCAATAGAACTTACTCATTCTCTAGACGAACGAATATATTGATTTAACAAAAACTGGTAACTCAATTTCAATAGAATACATTAAAGATTGGGCAATCGTTAGAGGTCATCACGACATCACCGACAACCTATATAGTGCATACATGCAGGTAGAGTACTAAAAAAATGAATAATAAATATAATTTCCAAATTTAGGTTAGAAAACAACCTTTCATCGGTGAGTTTCCGTTGGCAAATTTCACCAAACTCGATAAGTAAGTTTCAATTCACTTCTCGGCAAAGCCATTATTTTTTTTTCTAGTGCATCAAAATTGGTTTTAACAAATATTGATAAATTCATCCAAGAATCAGTAGCAGTAATCGATGCACTCGATGATTTCCTAAATTAACAAAAACCAAAAAAAATGCACAAGAACAGGAAAACAAGCAGAAAAATGATACACATGCATATCATCAGCAACACAATCAACAACAACATCATGAATCATGTATTCAACCTTAACGCCATCCACGTCAAGAGTATTATCAACAGCAACCATATGCGAAACAAGCTGATGTACCAACTGATTTTGAACAAGAATAAAGATTTGAATGACTGAAGCTTATAACAACAGTACATGACTAAAGTTCTTTTTCTATCCTTTTTCAACATGACTGTTTAATGAAAAAAAGCTTTTAATTTTGTCTATCATAATACTTAGTTTCAAATCACATGATTATTTTTTTGGTTATTTGACACCCTACATTAGCGGCAAACCAGGAATTCAAGGGTGGTGGGGCTCAGTCTCAGACTAAGGTTGATCACTTTCAGACTCGCCAGTTTATCTGTAGAGATTAGTATCAATAAACTCTCAAGCGCAACATCAGAATCAAGTGAAAAGACTATGTTTACTCATTGAGTATAGTTTTTTATGAGTGACCAGTTAACTCGGACATGCAAACAAAATATTGATATAATAAAGACAACAAATAATAGTTTATTTCGACATCATTCGACTGTTTTATGAATATCTGAGAATTTATGAATAAGCTGCTCAAAATTTACATCGATATCACGCTTGACAACTAATAGACATAAGTCACTTAGGCCATCATCAGTCATTGTGTTTCTCAGTGTTGTTTTGATCAATTTCATTTTGGAAAATGTGCGTTCGCATGTCGTTGAAGAAACTAGAATAGTCATCGCAGTTTCTATCAGTACAACAAGTATTGAAAATGCTTGTGTAAAAGGATATGATTTTTGATATAAATCAATTATATTAGTCAATGATTGTTTTTTAAACATAGATTTCAAAACAGCTAATTCATTAAATAAAATATCAACATCAAAATTCAAATGACCAGCAAATGGTTTTAATGAGTCAAAATCTAAAAACATACCACCATCTTGACATAATGATAATATACTTAATAAAATGTTTAAATTTTTTGATGAAAATCGATCCTTTATCTCAACTAATATATTATCAATCAATTGGTAATAAATGTTTGTTCTATAGTATTGTTCATTTTCATAATTAGTACGTTGCCCGATTGTAGTAGTAATAAGTGAATCTTTGAATCTGATAGAAGCAGCTCGTTTTCAATGCTGGTTTGATTTATTGTTGACATTTATGATTTTCTTCCACAAAAACTGATTACTAATTGAAATAATTGTTGAAAAGATTTTTCATCTCGTGCAGAATTAAGTTCTTCAATTACGGATAGAATTAATTGTTGTGCTTTACCATAATCAAGTACTTTAGCTATAGACTAAGGACAAAACATAAAAATGGAGCCTTTTGTTTTTGCAAGTAATCAGGTACCTTTTAAGTTATCTAACAAAACTTTTATCGGACTCAATAATTTGTGCAAAATGAACAATGTAACCGCAAGCATTGACTCTTGAACCACCACTAATAATCCTTTAGTATCGACAGCACATACACCACCATCTGCAATCAGCTCGTTGAAAGCCAAAATAATAACTTCATAATTCTGCAAAATAGCATCAATAGATGTCCATTGAGAGTCCCAACGGACATCAGCCCATAATTTAAGATTTGTATGAACTGAAAATGAAAAATAATTTACGTCATATCGGTGATTTTTCTTACTGAATTGTAATTCAGTTTGAGCTTGACGAAAATATTTGTTAGTAACACCTGAAACTGTGAAGTAATTATGAATCTTTTTAATGATTGAATAAAATTCACTAACATAAGTTGTTGAAATACATACATCGGCAATAACTAAATTCAGTCGATGTACATGACACTATACGTATACTGCCTTTGGCATGAATCATTCACGTAAAATGGCTTGTACACCTGTGTTCCTTCTAGTCATTACGCTGGCACTACGAAAAGCAAAGAAAAAAAAAATATTTCAATATTTTCTGATCAATATCTAATTTTAATAATCTTACCTGTCAAAGCATAATGCGATGCATAAAGTTAAATCAACATCAAATGTTTTCAACATATTAACAATGGTATCTGCCAGTGATGTAGCATCAAATGAACGTAATCCAATCAAGCCCAATAAATATTCTTCAATGAAATAATTTGATTCTTTTATTTTTTCATCATCAATAACACGAAGTACAAGGGACATTTGGTCGTGACCCCCAACATGACAACTTTCATCCGCTAACAATGCGCAAGGTTTGTTTTTGAGCTAAATATAATTTTACAAGAATTCTTTTTGTTGACAACCTTTCTTAGAAATTTGACATCGAATCTGATCAGCCATTAGATGTAAGAGTTCGTTTTGAATGCAAGATGATAAATAGGTTGCATTACTGCTTGAATCATCAAATATTGACCCCATTAGTAAATCAATCTGACAAGACCATTTGAGAATTTCCAAGAAAGTTTCTCTATTGTTCGATCTAAACAATAGCAGTAAACATCTAATGGTGCAGTGAAAAATGTTTTTAAACTGACTCTATATTTTCTTAATGACCTCTTAGAGGGATCATCTGACGACCACACAAAATATTATTGATGTTATTTTAATTAAACGTGCAGGATTCTTTCGAATTTGTTCAGTTTTTCCTGCATTAGCTACATTCACAAAATTTAATTTTAATTTTTCACGCATAAGAAACTCATTGTAATTATATGTTGCTGTTACATGTGCTATGCTTATTTCATGTTGTTTTAATCCTTTTTCTTCTCACGTGCAATTTTCAAATCATTAAAACCTCTCAAGAATGCATCACTTTGATTCCTATTAATCATATTATTTGTTGAACCGAAATGTCTACAATAGTAACAAAAAATTCGATCACTATCGATCGAGTACTCAAACCATGGTCGATTAATGAACCATTGCTTTTTAAATGATCGATTATCGCTATGGAATTTATATGATGGTAATATAGGCTGTGCTGGTGGATCAGCTGACGAACGACTAATATCAATAGGAAATAATGGTAATAAGGGTAATAGTGGTGAAACAGGTTGTAAAGGTGAATCTGTTAGTGAACGATAATTATCAGTAGGTAATAAAGGTGATGGAACAGATGATGAAACAGGATGTGATGTAGAATCAAGGAATGAATGGTTACTGTTAATGCGTAATGAACATGATGTTATTGTTGATGATAAATTAGATACATGATGACTACAAGTAGAAATTGAATCAGCATGCATATCATTAATGGGAACAATTGCAGAAAGTAAGTTTGATCCTTCAGAGGAAACAAGTCTCGTTTCTGTTTCTGCAGATTTTGATGAAAAGTTCGGTTTGCAACCATCAAGTTTTTGTTTTTTTGTTGCAGCTGATGAGAAGAAAGATAAAATAGTTTTCGATTTTAATGAGTTAGATTTCATGAACCTTGTTTATGTATTTATAAATATTTTAATTTTTAATTTTCCATAGTTCTTTTCAGAAAAGATGAGCCATAAAAGATGACATCGAATACAGATTGGTACCTTCGATATCTAACAGTTGTAATGATAAAAAAATGACACTATATTACGTTGAATCTAAAATTATACAGACATTCTCAATAACTAAAAACTCATATGAAAGTGTCCTAATTGAATTTTGTCTCTTTTTGTTTGAAAGCTCAATAACTTCAAAGTAAGCGTGGTGGGGCTTAAAATGCCGGTGGTGGAGATGAGCTCCCCTGGTACACCTTTGGTTACGCCACTAACGGTAAGGCTAGGGATGCAACGGTGACGATAACCGGTCTAATCGGTAACCGATCTAACGGTAACCGTTCGACCGGTAACCGGTGTGAACCGGTAACCGTTTCACCGGTAACCGTTCAACCGGTAACCGGTTGAACGGTTACCGGGGGACCGGTTACCGGCTCGCACCGGTTACCGGTGCAGCGGTCTCCGCCGACGCGGTTCCCGCTT